TATTCCTGACTCTTGAATCTTTATTTTTCTCTGTTATCCCAGCTAATAGTCACCCATTCATTCCCTTTCTCCCGCCTTTTCCACAAGGCAAGCTCTCTCATGCCTAAAGATCTCCACAGTTTATCATTTAAACGCCATTTTCACATGATGATATCAAATGAAGAACTGAGACTCAGAGAGGCTGTGTGACTGCAGGATTACATAGCTAGTAATTGGCAGAGCGGGAATGTGAACTCAAACTCAATTCCCCTAATATTCTCTGTACCTCCCTGGTTCCCTGCCTCCAACCACCTATTCTGACCAGTGGTTTGTGAAGTTCTTCCTTTGGTCCGAATTTTATTTCCCCTGTCTCTACACCTCCCCTTTAACTTACTGCAGGAATTTTCCACCCTCTATTGTCCCAGAGATACCACACAGTCCTCATTCAAGACAAAGCTTATGGAGGAAATAGAGAGACAGAAAACATTTGATGGAAGAGAGGGGTATAAAGCCCAGGAAAGAGAGACTCCCTTTGCCATAGGTGGAAATAAAACAGGAAGGGCTAATCCAGGGAGGACAGCACTAAAAATCACCCCTGCCAAGGCCTGGAAGAAATGATGCTCCTTTTTCTCCAGAGCCCCAGGGAGCCATAGCTTATACAGCAATCTGCACAGCAACTCCACATTCATATGCAGAGAAAGGAGGATGGCAGCACGATTTTCAAAACTGGTAAGAGCCACAGAAGATCACGCCACAGGGCATATACAAAATGAGGGCAAAAGGCAGGGTAAATCAATGAGGCATCCTCGGCTTCCTCCTTCTGCCCACTAGACCTTCCCAGGATTGTCAAAAAATATGAGTGTGTCACAAATACATACACAAGATCACACATACGTATTATCCTCTTACCTACATACACACTCGCATACACTCATACATCATCACATTCATACCTAGGACAATTTCAGGTATTCGGGCAAGTGCATACCTTCCCAACACATTTCTTATCAGACATGCCATTTATAAACATAAAAACAAAGACATATCATTATGGACCTCTCCTTCCACAAACTGTCCCCAGCATGCACATCGACCTTTACACAGACATGTATGCATATACGTCGGGCAGGTATTCGCAATTTCATCCTGACATATCTCATTCGCACACTCCAAATGCCATAGTTTCCGTATTCTCTGGAACTCCTTCAGTACCAGGCTCTGTCCCGAGGTCTCCAAACCCCACATCTTTAAGTATCTCTCAAAAAACATCTCCATACCTCCATCTCCATTTCCTACACCACACACACACACACACACACACACACACACACACACACACACACAGAGTTTTACATGCACCACAAAATCAGAGACAGAACTGGGCCTCATGACATATATACATGTATTCATTAATGTATTTGTTCATTTCTTTATTTAACAGCATTTATTAAGTGCCTGTTATGTTCAAGGTACCACACTAGACTCTGATGACACAAGATGAGCAAAAATAATCACCAACTGGGGCCTTGTTCCAACTCAACTGTAATGACCTTGAACCATAGCATAGGACATGTGCCTAGGCCTTGGGGATCTTAAGTATGTACCATGTGGAGAAAGAGAAGAGAAAGGGATTATGTCTATACTGTCCCAAAGGAAGAAGGATGTTCTATCTATAAAATGTAAAATTCCCAGAGAGAAACTGGAGCAGAGAAAAGAGAGCGACACTTGTACTACCCTGAGAGAGAACTCGTATCTACGCTTTTCCTGTGTGCATAACCCCTCACAAAGAAAAACTTAGGCAAACACTAGAATGGTAGAATTTTACCACTTGGGTGGGGGTGGAAAATGAGGAACAGGATGTCTCCCAGATTCTCCGCACCACTTGATGGAGGTGAACCACAGGAGCAGGGACTGTGTCCATTTTGTCCACTGCTGTGTGCCCAGCAACCAGCCTGCCACCTGGCCCACAGAAGGTACTCAATAAATAATTGTTGGATGAGTGACTAAGCTGAGGATAGTAAACCAATCTCTGCTCGTAAGTTTTTCTTGATTCACAAAAGACACGGAAAACTCTCTCACCTCTTCTCACCCTTCCCACATTCCCAAAGCCCTCTGACCTCAGCGAAGGGTAGACAGGCCAAACCCTTCATCTTGATGTTAGGGATGCTGAAAATCATTCTGACCAACCCATTATCTCCAAATGGCCTCTCTCATGCCTCAGCTTATGCATTTGCTTAGTAGGAAAATTTTCCTGCTGGCTAGAGCTGAAATCCCCCAGTTAGAGACTCCTCGGTGCATATGTTCCAGATTCTGAGTTTATCCTTGACAGGGTCTTAGTGTGGGAAACAGAATTCTTGGATGTTCCTCCCAATAAGAAATTGCCCTGCACAATTATATTAGTGTGGGCTTCTTCTCCAGAAGCAAAAACACCAGGCCTGGTCTCCCTGAACAGAGTCTCGATGTCCTAGATTAGAAATTAAAAGGGTATAGTGGGGAAAATAGGATGTGCTGAATCGAAAAATCTAGATAGATTTTTTTTTTATTTTATTTCTTTTCTTTTTTTTCTTTTGGTTACAAGTGACAGTGAAGAATCTAGATAGATAGACAGACGATAATACATACACGATTATATATTTCATCTGTCATTTTTTTTCAGTACCCAGTCCTGAGATAATCACGCCTACCCCGCTATTTCCAGACTAAACAACCCCTTCTTACCCCGCCCATGTAGGGGCATTGTGGGGTGGGAGGGAGGACACCTTTATTTCCATTTAAAAGAGGGAATGTCTCCTTTCTCATCTTAAGAAAACACCTGACTTCACCCTCCTACACAGCTAAAGCTCTAAATCCTTTTATTTCCCTTCATCTGATTATCAAAGCCTTCCAAATATTAAACCAAGGCCAAATCCAGTAAGCCATCAACTTGAGATCTACCTTGATATCAAGATCTTTCTCTGCTTTGAGAAAGTGAGACTGGGAATGTATTCCTGGTGATTAATAACCAAGAGATGGCAGTTTTCTGGGTAAGTTATGACGTGTAGCTAGCATTCTTAAGGACACGATTGCTGAAGTGAGTAAAGACCAGAATAATCTAATCAATAAAATTAGTGATCCTTGTCCGCCAGCATCTCATGTGAGGACTTCTTAGCTAAGGCTCTCTGGAGGGGCTGCTGTCTCTACACCCTTCTCTTCCTAGGTTCACAAGGCCTCCTTCTGGGGATCCTCTTCTCTTATGGTTAAGCACGTCTCACACAAAAGGAAGAAACAGGAATTCATTTTCAGAAAAAGTTTTGGTTAGAAAGGTGTGGGAGACAGTGAAACTGGTAAAACCCACTCTTTCGCAGGGCCCTGTTTCCTGGAATGGAGGCAAGATGAGTGTACGATGAGCCGCAGGTGCTAGGGAAGCCCTCCTGAGACACCTTGGATTCTCCCATTCATAGACCTCGAGGCCCTTTCTTTGCCTTTCAGCCACTTCCTTACCTGCCCCTTCCCCAGCTTAGTTACCAGAGCATTAACAAAGCATTGTTTTATATCAAGAATCACCCAGTGCTCCTCCCAACAAAAATCAATTCAATCCGCTTTTCCATTTCTTCATCCCAGAACTCATTCCAAGGCTGCGCTCCACAGAGCCCAGCAAATTGCATTGGCCAGAGGCAGCAAAGGAGAGGGACTGAGAAGCACATTTGGATTCCAAGCCTTGTTGCCCACTATGCCTCAGTTCTTCCTACGGCCTCTGTAAGCAGCTACTGTATAAATCAGACCAACCCGCCACGTAAAGGCATCATCTTATCACCACAGGTGAAGTATTTAAAGAACAATACAACCATAAGTATCTATCCAGTCCCTACCCCCATCTCTCCCTCTACCAGAACCCAGAAATATAAAGCTTCAGTGCTCACTATTGAGGATACTGGAGAGGAACTGGGTTCAGAGGCTATGTTTATTGTGCTTCCTCACTAAACATCCATACTCTCCTATCTATTGCCTCTTTCCTGGGGCTGTGGGAAGTCATCTCAGGGAGAAGGCATCTTCCCTTGTTCACTGATTAAGAACTAACAGACTGCAGAGATTACCCAGTGGCAGCAGCTGACTGGGAGATAAACATAATGCTTGTCTTTGACTCGATCCTCTTTTTTTCTGAGGAGCAGAAAGAAAAGTTCCTTTCCTTCCCTGGAACTAGAGTATGAAATACCTGATTGCTTCCTTTCCCCATTTATTCCTCCCCCATGCCTTCCCTGGGCCTGCAACAATAGAAAAGATACCTAAATGTGCTTGCAGATCCTGGGAGACCCTATATAAACAAAAAGGCTTTGATGCAGCCAGTTACCTTGCCCCTGTCAATCAATCTTTATTCACAACCACCACCACCTCTTCCAGCTCCCAGGTAGGGGCTCCACCCCCCTCCAGATTCCAGGTGAGTCCCCTCATCATTTATATGCAGAGTGAATTCCCAGGCCCCAAGAGATGAGAAGCTCAGGTACCCGGTGCTCTCAACCCCCACCTGCACTCCCTATAGGATGCAGGAGACAGAAACTACCAGTCCCATCTGAGATATCTATGACCCACAGGTTGGCACAAGTATCCCCATGCACTAGATCTGCATGTGTGCAATCGCTCTACACACCTCTGTGACCCATGGTCACTCATGCACACACATGTGATGTGTCTCACATCTGCACAACTCCGCACATGGATCCATGTGAGTCAGCTTGGCACCTCCACTGCCCCTCTGCAGCCCTGTCACACCGCACATACTGTGTCGCCTCTCCGCGCTGCGTGTCACCCCGGGGGTCCACAGGCACATCGTTACCTCTGCAACTCCTAAGCCCGCTCCGACCAGCCGTCTTGCTCCGCACATGCCTTGCACATGTGGCCTGGCCACGCGTGTCAGGGCCGTGTTTCCTCACACCTGCCAACATGTGTGCCCGAGAAAATCTACCAGCCCAGCTCCAGCTATTCCCCCCACCCGCTTCGGGCTCCCTAAGGTCCCTTCCCCCCATATCCCCCGGCCGGGGACTCACAGAGACCGGAGCTTAATCCACATCTTCTTGCTGGGAGCTGACTTCAGCTCCAGAGGTGACGGGCAATCCGACTCCAGCATCTCCGGAGGACTGCGGGGGGACAGCTCCATGCTCAGCCACTGTCTACGGAACAGAGGGAGGAGACAGCACCTCGGCTCAGCTACAGCCCCTAGCCGAGAGACCCTCACTCCCCATCCCAGGCCCTTCCCACCTGCGGCTGGCGTGGACCAGCCAGGCCGGTGTCTCTAGGCTCGGCCCAAGCTGACAGAGCTGCAGTTCCTGCGGCTCCTCCTCTCCCGCTGCCCAGCGAGCTCTGGGTTCCCAGTCCAAGCTCTCCGCGCCGCCGCTGCCGCCGCCGCTGCCGCCGCCGCCGCGCGCTGCCAGAGCCGCCTCCTCGCCTCTCTCCTCCTCCCGGGCCGGGTTCCCCCTCCCTCTGCTCCCCTCCCTTCTCCTCAGCCTGCCCGCCAGTCTCTCACTCCTCGCAGCCACTCCTCCCCCTCCCAAAGGAACGATTGGAAGCCGGGGGCACACACAGACAGCAGCGCCCAGGGGCGAGCGCACGCACACAGGCGCCCGGTACGAGTGGCTGCGCGTGCCCTGCGCGGGTGGATGTGCCTGCGTGTTTACAGAGTGCAGCACAGGCGGCGGGCAGGACTTCGGTGTGGGCGGTTGTGTGGGTTCCGTCGGTGTGTGTTTTGAGTTTCTGTCTATGTGCGTGTGGTTTCCTGCGTCCGCGTGTGCCTAGCTGCCTGTGTGTCCCATGTGTGAGGGAGGGGTGGGGAATGAACCCGCATCTCCCCCTGGGGAACCTGGACCCTGCTGAGTGAAGCCACCCACCATCAGAACCCAGCCGACCAGACCCCACCTGTGCTGATGTCTTTGAAGAGAAAAGTTCAGGGTCTGCGCTGAGCTGTGAGGGCATCCCACACCTGGCCTCTGGTCCCCCAGCTTGACCTTCCCCACCTGTCTCCAATGGTGTAGGCTTCCTCATGGTGCCTCGAACTACCTGCCTGGCGATAGGAATTTCTCCCAAGTTTAAAGCTCTCCAGAGCAGGCAGCACTACATCTTCCTTGACTACAAAAGAGCTAGCTCCACACAGCCAGGAAATCATTCCTGACAGCTCAACCCCTGCGGCAGCCCTTACGGCTCATTCCTCTTATTCTGTCTTCAGAGAAAGAAGTCTTAAGGGCTAAAGGCCCAGCACAAAACAGCCTAGCTGCTTAGCAAACATTTGTGGAATGAGTGAACTGGAATTTGAACTCAAGACCTTGTAATACGACAGAGCCTCTTCCATCCACCTGAGTTCTACCTGGGACTCTTGCAGGAACCATCTCTCTTCCTTAGTATTGTTCTCCCCCTTATTAACCTACTTTGGCAGTGGGGAAACTCCCATGTAAACAGAAAGTGGAGATGTATTCACTAACTGCTGGATCCAAAAGAGGAAATTAATCCAGGATCCCAGAATGTGAATTTTGATTTCAGAAACTCTAGCGGTTGGAAGGAGGGTGATCCAGAGAAGGTATTTACTCTGTTCTAAATACTGGATGGAGGCTCCCCCTTTCCAAGGCAAAGGAAGAGAAAAGTAAAGTGATAGGGTGAAGAAAAGGATGGACTGCCACAGCTAAGACTCCCAACATAAATGAATTACCAGGTTAGGTCAGGGCTTCATATCTGGCAGCAGTATCAGCAGAACCAGCTCCCAGGAAGTACAGAGGCCCAAGGAGATGGCAGAGTCAGAGATGGAGAAAAAAGTGGAAAGAGTGGGATTTCCCCCTCTCTGTCCATCTAACTTCAGCACATGTCTCCCTTTTCCCTCCTTGCCAAAGGAGAAGTCCCAGCCAAGAAATAGCTGCATCTGAGACCCTAGTCATACTCCTGCAACAATGCAATTCTCAAAATTTGGGAGCAATCTCCTTCCTTATCAACTGAAAAAGGATTGGGCTGGAAACTACAAAAGAATTGCAAATGAAGATTAGAGCCAAAGAGCTCTAATTAGGAAATTAGGATTAGAGCTAAGGAGTTTCCCAATTTAGGCAGGTATTTAGACTAGCAGAGGTGGGAAAGAGGTAGGAGACATTCTTCCAGAGGGATCTCATAACATTTCTTGTCAACACAGTGGCACATCCTGCTCTCCCAGACCCCCAACTCCTAACCCATTTTAAGGGGAATTCACACACAGAGAAAAAAAGTTATTTGTGAAAGAGACTTTTGATTCCTAGTCTAATCCCTTTCATTTAATAAATAGGAAAACTAAGCCCAGAAAAATTATATGGTAAGTGATAAAGCCAGAGCCAAGCCTCCCAACCTCTCCACTCTGTGGCTCTTTCATTTTCTTTAGTTACCAGTCCTGGTGTTTAGCCTCAACCTCATTCCTCTTGTTGCAATCCAATCCCATTTCTGCCTTACTGCCTCTCTAAAGAGATAAGAATAGGGTATACTTGTTCCATTCATAGGCTTAAAAGACAGCTATTCTTCTCTCCCTGCCTTTTCCTCTTGTCCCCTACCCCCACCTTTCCCAGGCTCCTTCTGCCCCACCTCATTCCTCTCCTTTTCAGCTTCTAAACTGCCCTCTGCCTCCTCACTCCCCTAACCCCACAATCTTTTCCAAAAAGCTTTGAGTTTGATAGAGACCAAAAATGATGCTTTGGCAGCAGGTGACGGATGGATGTGATCTGCCTCCTACTGGAATGCTATTTAAAGGGGCGGCCTCACAATCCTCTCCTTCCAAAGTGACAAGAGAAAAGCCTGCTCCTCAATCTCTCCAGAGCTGCAAACTCAGCTCAAGTTAACTTCTGACTTCCTCAACCTGCAACCTGGCCTGCTGCTCCTGCTTCCTATTCAGGTGGGAGGGAGAGTACTTGACAACTCATTGAGGTGTGGGGGCTGAGGGGGGATTCATCTCCTTTCATGACAGGTACTTAGGAGAGGCAGGAGGCCTTGTGGGGAGGAGGACTGGAAGAACACTCTTCCCCCAACCGCGTGAGTGCATTTCAACCATGTGCCAGCTTCTCAAAGTCAAACTTTGTTGGAGAAGAACTGATACAGACATGACGACCTAAGGTTAAGCAAGCCTTATCCCTAGCTGGGACCTCCCTACCTCCTGGATCCTGGTGCTCACACCACAGTTGTTCCCTTTCTGCAAGGCAAAGTACTAAAGGACAAGATCCCTTTGGCCAGGCCCTGGACCTTCTGCACTTTGAAATTGCCCTCACCTGCCCACTGGATTGAACACCATGGGGGTGGGGTGGGGGCTGTTTCTACTGTCCAAAGGAAAGGGAGCTCCTCTGCAAGCATCTTGCCCCAGGCCTAGTGGGAGGAATAATTCCATTTCATTGCAGCAAACAAGTTAATGGAGATTTTAATGAAAACACTGCACTAATGAAAATGCTGAGGCTAGCACCTACTCTCTGCCTGCAAGACAAAACAATCAGGGTCAGAATTTTTCCCTAATATTCATTCCTCAGTTCCTTTTGGCCCAAAGTAAAGCAAACTGGGGAACTGGGAACAGAAAGCAGTTCACAGTTGATTGTGTCCCAGGTTGTAAGAGGTCAGAAACCCTCCCGGTCAAGGAAGCAAATTGCCAGAAATGCTGATGAGTTTTGTCACCTTATCTGTCCCTTCACCTCTAGGCCTTTTGTTTCAGGTGGTAAAGGCCATTGTGTCTGCACCTTCTCCTATTTGCTCTTTTTAGGGTCTCTGGATTCTAATAAGGAAACCTTCCCTTACGAAGAGGCAATCTGGTCAGGTAGAAAAGGTTTAGGACTGAACATCAGACTTGGGTCCCCGTGCTAGTTCTGCTAAACATTCGAGCTTCATTAAGTCATTTAACATTTCTGAACCTGTTTCCTGACCTAAAATAGGAAAGCCTTCCCTGGCTACCTTGCAGAATTGCTATGAGGAGGCAAAAGCACTTTGAAAAAGTATAGGTGGTAGAAGTGTGTGTACAATTATATGTTTATAAAAAGATATTATGTCAAATGACAATTTTAGAAATGGAGAACAGATCTGTGTTGCCAGGAGTTAGGGATGGGGAAGGGCATTGTGGGAGGGAAGTGGGTGTGGTTATAAAAGAGCAACATGAGGGATCCTTGTGGTGATGGAGCTGTTCTGTATCTTGACTGTGGTGGCGGATACATGAACCTACACATGTGATAAAGCTCTGTAGAACTAAATACACACACAAGAAGTGAGTATAAGTAAAAACTGAGGAAATCTGAATAAGATCTGTGGATTATATCAATGTCAATATCCTGATTGTGACAGTTTATGGTAGTGTAGTTTTGCAAGGTGTTACCATTGGGGGAAACTGTAACAGTACAAAGAATCTTTCTGTATTATTTCTTACTACTGTATGTGGACTATCTCAATGAAATTTTCTTTATTTTTGAGACAGAGTCTCACTGTTGCCCTGGGTAGAGTGCAGTGGCATCATCATAGCTCACAGCAACGTCAAATTCCTGGGCTCAAGTGATCCTCCTGCCTCAGCTTCCCAAGAAGCTGGGACTACAGGTGTATGCCACCATGCCCTGCTAATTTTTCTATTTTCATTAGAGATGGAGTCTCACTCTTGTTGAGGCTCACCTTGAACTCCTGAGCTCAAGCAATCCTCCCAGAGTGCTAGGATTACAGGTGTGAGCCACCACACCCAGCCTAAATTTTCAATTAACACAAGTTTCTCCAGAGGGATAGGGAGTCCTTAATTTTTTTTTTTTTTTTTTTTTTTTTGGTGGAGACCAGGTCTCACTATGTTGCCCAGCTGGTCTCAAACTAATTCCTGGCCTCAAGCGATCCTCCCCCTCCACTGGGATTATAGGCATGAGCTCAGCCCTGCTCTTATGCAGTTCTACATGCAAATGGAAAAGTCTCCATCCCCTCAAGCAGAACTGAGCAGAGATATATGAGAGTATAGGTAGTTGTTCAGATACTTCTGAGCCTTCTCTTCCTCAACAACTTTATAGGACTGACACCAAATCACTCCTTAGAACATAATGTCTTTCCCATAGCAAGGAAGGACAATCAGCTGATGCGTGAAACAAGATTCCCTGTTGCTTCTATCCTAAAGAGCAGACAATTGTTGCCAAGAACAACTTGTATGTGATTATGGGTGCCAAGTTAAGAAAGTATTGACTAAGCCTGAGTCTTGAGAAATAAAAAGCAAACACGCATACAAAATCCAAAAACAGCTGTCAAATTGGTTTAATGAAGGCTGGATGGTTTCGCTGAAAACCAACAGTTGCTTCTCTTTCATCACGGAAGTATGGACATGACCCTAATTAATCAACCAGCTAATTATTTTTGCTCCTTCCAACCACACTAGACCTGTGATCTATATGATCTGTTGCTCCAGTCCTCCATGGCAGTGGGTGCACAGAAGTGAAGGATGGAGGCCACTGTTTCCTGCCATGGAGTTAACTAAACCTAGTTTAATGCCATCTTGAATGCCCCAGGCTCTGACACTTGAAATTCTAATTAGTGCAGAAAAGGACCAAGTTGAAACAGCTTGTACTCCCTCAAGGATACCCACTCTTAGGGCCCTACAACCTAATGAGGTCTGTGAAATTTAAGATCTAGAAGAGAAATCCC